GGATGTGTGGGATGGTGGAGGGTAGTGTGGGTGGTGGAGGGAAGTGTGGGGATGGTGGAGGGTAGTGTGGGGTGGTGGAGGGTGGTGGAGTGTGGGATGGTGGAGGGTAGTGTGGGATGGTGGAGGGAAGTGTGGGATGGTGGAGGGAAGTGTGGGATGGTGGAGGGTAGTGTGGGGTGGTGGAGGGTAGTGTGGAGGTGGTGGAGGGTAGTGTGGGGTGGTGGAGGGTAGTGTGGGTGGTGGAGGGTAGTGTGGGGTGGTGGAGGGTAGTGTGGAGGTGGTGGAGGGTTGTGTGGGGTTGTGGAGGGTAGTGTGCAGTGGTGGAGGGTTGTGTGGGATGGTGGAGGGAAGTGTGGGATGGTGGAGGGAAGTGTGGGATGGTGGAGGGTAGTGTGGGATGGTGGAGGGTAGTGTGGGGTGGTGGAGGGTATGTGGGGTGGTGGAGGGTGGTGTGGGGTGGTGGAGGGTTGTGTGGGATGGTGGAGGGTAGTGTGGGGTGGTGGAGGGTAGTGTGGGATGGTGGAGGGTAGTGTGGGATGGTGGAGGGTAGTGTGGGGTGGTGGAGGGTAGTGTGGGATGGTGGAGAACAGTGTGGAGGTGGTGGAGGGTAGTGAGGGATGGTGGAGGGTAGTGTGGGGTGGTGAAGGGTAGTGTGGGGTGGTGGAGGGAAGTGTGGGATGGTGGAGGGTAGTGTGGGATGGTGGAGGGTAGTGTGGGGTGGTGGAGGGTAGTGTGGGGTGGAGGGTAGTGTGGGGTGGTGGAGGGTAATGTGAGGTGGTGGAGGGTAATGTGGGGTGGTGGAGGGTTGTTTGGGATGGTGGAGGGAAGTGTGGGATGGTGGAGGGTAATGTGAGGTGGTGGAGGGTAGTGTGGGGGTGGAGGGTTGTGTGGGATGGTGGAGGGTAGTGTGGGGTGGTGGAGGGTAGTTGTGGGTGGTGGAGGGAAGTGTGGGGTGGTGGAGGGTAGTGTGGGGTGGTGGAGGGTAGTGTGGGGTGGTGGAGGGTAGTGTGGGGTGGTGGAGGGTAGTGTGGGGGATGGTGGAGGGTAGTGTGGGATGGTGGAGGGTAGTGTGGGGTGGTGGAGGGTAATGTGGGGTGGTGGAGGGTAGTGTGGAGGTGGTGGAGGGTTGTGTGGGGTGGTGGAGGGATGTGTGGGGATGGTGGAGGGTAGTGTAGGTGGGGGTGGTGGAGGGTATGTGTGGGGGGTTGTTTGGGATGGTGGAGGGTGTGTGGGGTGGTGGAGGGTAGTGTGGGGTGGTGGAGGGTAGTGTGGGGTGGTGGAGGGAAGTGTGGGGTGGTGGAGGGTAGTGTGGGGTGGTGGAGGGTAGTGTGGGGGGTGGAGGGTAGTGTGGGGTGGTGGAGGGTAGTGTGGGGTGGTGGAGGGTAGTGTGGGGTGTGGTGGAGGGTAGTGTGTGGGTGGTGGAGGGTAGTGTGGGGTGGTGGAGGGATGTGTGGGGTGGTGGAGGGTAGTGTGGGGTGGTGGAGGGATGTGGTGTGGGGTGGTGGAGGGTAGTGTGGGGTGGTGGAGGGTAGTGTGGGGTGGTGGAGGGTAGTGTGGGGTGGTGGAGGGATGTGTGGGGTGGTGGAGGGATGTGTGGGGTGGTGGAGGGTAGTGTGGGGTGGTGGAGGGATGTGTGGGGTGGTGGAGGGTAGTGTGGAGTGGTGGAGGGTAGTGTGGGGTGGTGGAGGTATGTGTGGGGTGGTGGAGGGTAGTGTGGGGTGGTGGAGGGTAGTGTGGGGTGGTGGAGGGGTATGTGTGGGGTGGTGGAGGGATGTGTGGGGTGGTGGAGGGTAGTGTGGGGTGGTGGAGGGTAGTGTGGGGTGGTGGAGGGTGTGTGGGTGGTGGAGGGATGTGTGGGGTGGTGGAGGGTAGTGTGGGGTGGTGGAGGGTAGTGTGGGGTGGTGGAGGGATGTGGGGTGGTGGAGGGTAGTGTGGGGTGGTGGAGGGTAGTGTGGGGTGGTGGAGGGTAGTGTGGGGTGGTGGAGGGTAGTGTGGGGTGGTGGAGGGTAGTGTGGGGTGGTGGAGGGTAGTGTGGGGTGGTGGAGGGTAGTGTGGGGTGGTGGAGGGTGTGTGGGGTGGTGGAGGGTAGTGTGGGGTGGTGGAGGGTAGTGTGGGGTGGTGGAGGGTAGTGTGGGGGGTGGTGGAGGGTAGTGTGGGGTGGTGGAGGGTAGTGTGGGGTGGTGGAGGGTAGTGTGGGGTGGTGGAGGGTAGTGTGGGGTGGTGGAGGGTAGTGTGGGGTGGTGGAGGGTAGTGTGGGGTGGTGGAGGGTAGTGTGGTGGGGTGGTGGAGGGTAGTGTGCGGTGGTGGAGGGTAGTGTGGGGTGGTGGAGGGTAGTGTGGGGTGGTGGAGGGTAGGGTAGTGGTGGGGGTGGTGGAGGGTAGTGTGGGGTGGTGGAGGGTAGTGGGGGGTAGTGGGGTGGTGGAGGGTAGTGTGGGGTGGTGGAGGGTAGTGTGGGGTGGTGGAGGGTAGTGTGGGGTGGTGGAGGGTAGTGTGGGTGGTGGAGGGTAGTGTGGGGTGGTGGAGGGTAGTGTGGGGTGGTGGAGGGTAGTGTGGGGTGGTGGAGGGTAGTATGGGGTGGTGGAGGGTAGTGTGGGGTAGTGGAGGGGTGTGGGGTGGTGGAGGGTAGTGAGGGGTGGTGGAGGTTAGTGTGGGGTGGTGGAGGGTAGTGTGGGGTGGTGGAGGAGGTTGGAGTAGTGTGGGGTGGTGGAGGGTAGTGTGGGGTGGTGGAGGGTAGTGTGGGGTGGTGGAGGGTAGTGTGGGGTGGTGGTATGGTAGTGTGGGTGGTGGAGGGTAGTGTGGGGTGGTGGAGGGTAGTGTGGGGGGTGGAGGGTAGTGTGGGGATGGTGGAGGGTAGTGTGGGGTGGTGGAGGGTAGTGTGGGGAGGGAGGTGGTGGAGGGTAGTGTGGGGTGGTGGAGGGTAGTGTGGGGTGGTGAATGGTAGTGTGGGGTGGTGGAGGGTAGTGTGGGGTGGTGGAGGGTAGTGTGGGGTGGTGGAGGGTAGTGTGGGGTGGTGGAGGGTAGTGTGGGGTGGTGGAGGGTAGTGTGGGGTGGTGGAGGGTAGTGTGGGGTGGTGGAGGGTAGTGTGGGATGGTGGAGGGGGGAGTGTGTGGGGGTGGTGGAGGGAAGTGTGGGGTGGTGGAGGGATGTGTGGGGTGGTGGAGGGTAGTGTGGGGTGGTGGAGGAGGGAAGTGTGGGATGGTGGAGGGATGGTGGAGTGTGGGGTGGTGGAGGGTAGTGTGGGGTGGTGGAGGGTTGTGTGGGGTGGTGGAGGGTAGTGTGGGGTGGTGGAGGGTTGTGTGGGATGGTGGAGGGAAGTGTGGGATGGTGGAGGGAAGTGTGGGATGGTGGAGGGTAGTGTGGGATGGTGGAGGGAAGTGTGGGATGGTGGAGGGAAGTGTGGGGTGGTGGAGGGTAGTGTGGGGTGGTGGAGGGTTGTGTGGGGTGGTGGAGGGTAGTGTGGGGTGGTGGAGGGTAGTGTGGGATGGTGGAGGGTAGTGTGGGGTGGTGGAGGGTAATGTGAGGTGGTGGAGGGTAATGTGGGGTGGTGGTGGAGGGAAGTGTGGGGTGGTGGAGGGTAGTGTGGGTGGTGGAGGGTAGTGTGGGGTGGTGGAGGGTAGTGTGGGGTGGTGGAGGGTAGTGTGGGATGGTGGAGGGTAGTGTGGGATGGTGGAGGGTAGTGTGGGATGGTGGAGGGTAGTGTGGGATGGGGGTGGAGGGTAGTGTGGGATGGTGGAGGGTAGTGTGGGTTGGTGGAGGGTAGTGTGGGGTGGTGGAGGGTAGTGTGGGGTGGTGGAGGGTAGTGTGGGATGGTGGAGGGTAGTGTGGGATGGTGGAGGGTAGTGTGGGATGGTGGAGGGAAGTGGGATGGTGGAGGGTAATGTGGAGGGTAGTGTGGGATGGTGGAGGGTAGTGTGGGATGGTGGAGGGTAGTGTGGGATGGTGGAGGGTAGTGTGGGGTGGTGGAGGGTAAGTGTGGGGTGGTGGAGGGTAGTGTGGGATGGTGGAGGGTAATGTGGGGTGGTGGAGGGAAGTGTGGGATGGTGGAGGGAAGTGTGGGATGGTGGAGGGTAGTGTGGGGTGGTGGAGGGTAGTGTGGGATGGTGGAGGGTAGTGTGGGATGGTGGAGGGTAATGTGAGGTGGTGGAGGGTAATGTGGGGTGGTGGAGGGTTGTTTGGGATGGTGGAGGGTAGTGTGGGGTGGTGGAGGGTAGTGTGGGGTGGTGGAGGGTAGGTGGAGGGTTGTGGGGGTGGTGGAGGGTAGTGTGGGGTGGTGGAGGGTAGTGTGGGGTGGTGGAGGGTTGTTTGGGATGGTGGAGGGTAGTGTGGGGTGGTGGAGGGTAGTGTGGGGTGGTGGAGGGTACTGTGGGGTGGTGGAGGGTAGTGTGGGGTGGTGGAGGGTAGTGTGCGGTGGTGGAGGGTAGTGTGGGGTGGTGGAGGGTAGTGTGCGGTGGTGGAGGGTAGTGTGGGGTGGTGGAGGGTAGTGTGGGGTGGTGGAGGGTAGTGTGGGGTGGTGGAGGGTAGTGTGGGGTGGTGGAGGGTAGTGTGCGGTGGTGGAGGGTAGTGTGGGGTGGTGGAGGGTAGTGTGCGGTGGTGGAGGTAGTGTGGGGTAGTGGAGGGAAGTGTGGGATGGTGGAGGGAAGTGTGGGATGGTGGAGGTTAATGTGCGGTGGTGGAGGGTAGTGTGGAGGTGGTGGAGGGTAGTGTGGAGTGGTGGAGGGTAGTGTGGGATGGTGGAGGGTAGTGTGGGATGGTGGAGGGTAGTGTGGGGTGATGGAGGGTAGTGTGGGATGGTGGAGGGTAGTGTGGGATGGTGGAGGGTAGTGTGGAATGGTGGAGGGTAGTGTGGGGTGGTCCTCAATCACCAGGTCGTCAGTCACCAGGTCCTCAATCACCAGGTCGTCAGTCACCAGGTCCTCAAATGGTGGAGGGTAGTGTGGAATGGTGGAGGGTAGTGTGGGGTGGTCAATCACCAGGTCGTCAGTCCTCACCCAGGTCGTCAGTCAATCACACAGGTCCTCAATCACCAGGTCGTCAGTCACCAGGTCCTCAATCACCAGGTCGTCAGTCACCAGGTCCTCAATCACCAGGTCGTCAGTCACTAGGTCGTCAGTCACCAGGTCGTCAGTTACCAGGTCCTCAATCAACAGGTCGTCAGTCACCAGGTCGTCAGTCACCAGGTCGTCAGTCACCAGGTCTTCAGTCACCAGGTCGTCAGTCACCAGGTCTTCAGTCACCAGGTCGTCAGTCACCAGGTCTTCAGTCACCAGGTCTTCAGTCACCAGGTCGTTAGTCACCAGGTCGTCAGTCACCAGGTCGTCAGTCACCAGGTCTTCAGTCACCAGGTCGTCAGTTACCAGGTCCTCAATTACCAGGTCGTCAGTCACCAGGTCCTCAATCACCAGGTCGTCAGTCACCAGGTCCTCAATCACCAGGCCGTCAGTCACACGGTCCTCAATCACCAGGTCGTCAGTCACTAGGTCGTCAGTCACCAGGTCTTCAGTCACCAGGTCGTCAGTTACCAGGTCCTCAATCACCAGGTCGTCAGTCACCAGGTCCTCAATCACCAGGTCGTCAGTCACCAGGTCCTCAATCACCAGTTCGTCAGTCACCAGGTCCTCAATCACCAGGTCCTCAGTCACTAGGTCGTCAGTCACCAGGTCTTCAGTCACCAGGCCTTCAGTCACCAGGTGTCAGTTACCAGGTCCTCAATCACCAGGTCGTCAGTCACCAGGTCCTCAATCACCAGGTCGTCAGTCACTAGGTCGTCAGTCACCAGGTCTTCAGTCACCAGGTCTTCAGTCACCAGGTCGTCAGTTACCAGGTCCTCAATCACCAGGTCGTCAGTTACCAGGTCCTCAATCAACAGGTCGTCAGTCACCAGGTCTTCAGTCACCAGGTCGTCAGTTACCAGGTCCTCAATCACCAGGTCGTCAGTCACCAGGTCCTCAATCACCAGGTCGTCAGTCACCAGGTCCTCAATCACCAGGTCGTCAGTCACCAGGTCCTCAATCACCAGGTCGTCAGTCACCAGGTCGTCAGTCACCAGGTCGTCAGTCACCAGGTCGTCAGTTACCTGGTCCTCAATCACCAGGTCGTCAGTTACCAGGTACTCAATCAACAGGTCGTCAGTCACCAGGTCTTCAGTCACCAGGTCGTCAGTTACCAGGTCCTCAATCACCACGACGTCAGTCACCAGGTCCTCAATCACCAGGTCGTCAGTCACCAGGTCCTCAATCACCAGTTCGTCAGTCACCAGGTCCTCAATCACCAGGTCGTCAGTCACTAGGTCCTCAATCACCAGGTCGTCAGTCACCAGGTCGTCAGTCACCAGGTCTTCAGTCACCAGGTCCTCAATCATGTTGGTTGTGAGAGTGCAACATCAGCTGAAAGACTTCTTCTCACTCAATTTTGTTATCACTTCACACAGTTATCACTACACACGGTTATCACTACACACGGTTATCACAACAAACGGTTATCACTACACACGGTTATCACTACACACGGATATCACTCCACACGGTTATCACTCCTCTCGGTTATTTCTACACACGGCTATCATTACACTCGGTTATCACTACACACAGCTATCACTACACACGGTTATCACTACACACGGTTATAACTACACACGGTTATCACTACACATGGTTATCAATACACACGGTTATTCTTACACACATCTCTCACTACACAGTTATCACTACACACGGTATTCACTTCACACGGTTATCACTATAGACCGTTATCACTTCACACTGTTATCACTTCATACGGCTATCACCACACACGGTTATCACTACACGGTTATCACTACACATTGTTATTACTACATACTCATATCACTACACACGGTTATCACTACTCACTTTTATCACTTCAAACAGTTATCATTTCACACGGTTATCACTTCACACGGTTATCACTACACATGGTTATCACTTCACACGGTTATCACTACACTCGGTTATCACTACCCACTGTTATCACTACACACGGTTATCACTATACACGGTTATCACATGACATTGCTACCTGTACACACTGTTATCATTACACTACATACTCATATCACTACACACGGTTATCACTACTCACTTTTATCACTTCAAACAGTTATCATTTCACACTGTTATCACTACACTCGGTTATCAGTAAAATAATTTATCTCTACACACTGTTATCACTACACTCGGTTATCCGTACAAATTGCTATCACTACACATGGTTTTCACTACATACTGTTATCACTACACTCGGTTATCAGTTCACATTGTTATCACTTCACACGGTTATCACTACACACGGTTATCACTACACTCGGTTATCACTTCACACAGTTATCACTTCACACGTTTAACAATACACACGGTTATCACTTCACACGGTTATCACTACACATAGTTATCACTACACACGGTTATCACCACACACGGCTATCACTAAACACTGTTATTACTACACACGGTTATTATTGCAAATGTTTATCACTACATGTTGTTTTCACTTCACACGGTTATCACTTCACACTGTTATCAATACACACGGTTAACACTACTAACGGTTATCACTACACATTGTTATCACTACACACTGTTATTCCTACACACTGTTATCACTACACACGGTTATCATCACTCACTTTTATCACTTTACACAGTTACCACTTCACACGGTTATCACTTCACACGGTTATCACTACACACGGTTATCACTTCACACGGATATCATTATATACGGTTTTCATTACACACGTTTATCAATACACATTGTTATAACTACACACTGTTATCACTACACACGGTTATCATCACTCACTTTTATCACTTCACACAGTTATCACTTCACACAGTTATCACTTCACACGGTTATCACTTCACACGATTATCTCTTCACACGGTTATCCGTACACACGGTTATCACTACACACGGTTATCACTACACTCGGTTCTCAGTACACACGGTTATTACTACTCACGGTTATCATGACTCTCTTTCATCACTTCACACGGCTATCATTACACAGGGATTATCACTACACACGGTTATCACCACAAACCACAATCACTACACACGGTTATCGCTACACACGGTTATCACTACTCACGGTTATCACTAAACACGGTTATCACTACACACGGTTATCACTACACACGGTTATCACTACACACGGTTATCACTACTCTGGATTCTCACTACATACGGTTATCACTACACACGGTTATCACTTCACACGGATGTCATTTCACAGTTCTCACTACACACAGTTATCACTTCACTCGATTATCACTTCACACGGTTATCAGTTCACATAGTTATCACTACACACGGTTATCACTTAAAACAGTTATCACTCAACACAGTTAAAATTGCATGGTTATCATTACACACGGTTATTACTACATTCTGTTATCACTATACACTGTTATCACTACTCACGGTTATCACTACACAGAGTTATCACTAAACCATGTTATCACTACACTCGGTTATCACTACACACGATTATCACTTCACATGGTTATCACTACATACGGTTATTACTACACATAGTTATCACTACACGCGTTTATCACTTCACACGGATATCACTGGACACGATTATCACTACACACAGTTATCATTTCAAACGGTAATGACTCCACACAGTTATCACTACATGTTTATAGTAGTAGGGATGACACGCCACAGGTCCCCATTTTTTTTTTGGGAGAGGACCCCTGTGGACTGTAAGCGCCACAGGTACCTTTTTTTTTTCTGGAAATTCGTGTGTAGCATGTCGGGGTTTTCAGGTAAATTTTGTCAGTCACAGATTTTAGAAGTAAGGATTTCTTATGATGAAAATAATTTCCGAGACTTAGAAGTTTGTTAAAGTCTTATCATGAAATAATGTCATACGACTTTGTTAAAAGTTCTTATTTGTTTCTTACTTAGAAACTTGTATATTGCTATATATATCTAATTCATTTCCCTGCCATCCCCCCCTCCCTCACCTTTCCCTCCCCCTGCATCCCCCCCGCTTGTACCTCACACCCCCTCCCTCCCCCCCTACCTCGCAATCTGTCGCCTCACCTGTGTTTACTTTAGACGTCAGCCAGACACAGCCTTCAGGTCACCTCGGTAATCGTATCTTATCTTCTCCATAATAATATCTGGACCGTCCCTCTCTCTCTCTCTCCTCCTATTTCCTTACAGCTATTTTCAGAGTTTCAAATAATCATAGAAGTTTATTTATATGTTTATGACCGAATTTGTAAAAGGACCATTTTCAGAGAATATTGTCTTAGATGTTTTGTTAAGGAAAACAGACAACTTATCCATAACATTTAGTTTTATATCCATTTACAGCTATTTCATCTGTAAAGACCAAAATTAGTCAGAGACAGTTTTAAGCTCATATTTCATCAGAGTCCAGTTTATACCGAAAATTCGCCAGAGTCTACTTTGAGAGCAAAATTAGTCAGAGACAGTTTTAAGCTCATATTTCATCAGAGTCCAGTTTATACCGAAAATTCGCCAGAGTCTACTTTGAGAGCAAAATTAGTCAGAGACAGTTTTTAGCTCATATTTCATCAGAGTCCAATTATCAACAGAAATTCGCCAGAGTCTACTTTGAGAGCAAAATTAGTCAGAGACAGTTTTAAGCTCATATTTCATCAGAGTCCAGTTTATACCGAAAATTCGCCAGAGTCTACTTTGAGAGCAAAATTAGTCAGAGACAGTTTTTAGCTCATATTTCATCAGAGTCCAATTATCAACAGAAATTCGCCAGAGTCTACTTTGAGAGCAAAATTAGTCAGAGACAGTTTTAAGCTCATATTTCATCAGAGTCCAATTATCAACAGAAATTCGCCAGAGTCTACTTTGAGAGCAAATTTCATCAGTGTCCTGTAATCTGTGAAAATTTGACAGAGTCCATTTTATACCCAATTTTCGTCAGAGTCCAGTTTATGCTCAAATTCGCCAGAGTCTACTTTAATAGCAAAATTCATCAGAGTCCAGTTTTCTAGCAAAATTCATCAGAGTCCAGTTTATACCGAAAATTCGCCAGTCTGCTTTGTGCCAAATATTCAGAGTCCAGTTCATGATCGAAATTAATCAGAGTCCAATTAAAGACCCAAATTTGACAGAGACCACATTTTCGCTACTAGCAGTCCAATCCCCCTGAAATTTTAAACAGTCATACTTCAAAGTTAGTAAATAAGATCAAGTCAGTTACTGAGCTCCAGCTCTCGTCCCCACCTTAGTTCTCTTTCGTATCTTTGTAAAATAACCCATCAATTTCCCTGAAATTTTTACCCTCTGTATTTCAGACATCGTAAATATGAAGTAAACAATTATAAAACTCTAGCACTTGTCCTCTGTCCAAGCTCACTTTTGTAAAATCATTACTCTCAGTCCAAATCACCCAACTACATTTTCAGACATAGTAAATAAAAACCAGTTCAGTTATCAAGTTTCAACTCTTGTGCCCCAGCTTAGTTCATTTGTACAAGTTCTTTATTTTCCAACTAAATCACCCTGAGATTTAAAATCACCTTATTTTCTAACGTAGTAAAATTAATCTGGACATTAGCCAAGTTTCCATTTCCTCAGCCTTAGATCATCAGACATAAATATATTCAATCAAGTCCATCTCCAGCCTAACTCTTATCCGAGTACACACATAACCCCAACCTGTGTAATTATCTTTCACCCCCTCCCACCTTCCTCCATCTCATCTCACCTTACCCTTTACCTCTCATCCCCAACGTATCCAAACCTTCAATAATCATACTGTATTTGCATATTTTCTCTATATTCAGCTGTGTTCTTCACATTTTGTCCATGTTTTCTGTGTTCATTCCATGTTCTACAAATGTTCACAGCATGCTCAGTTCAATTCTTTTCACCTGTTTTTCTCATTTTTTCTGTAATCTTTCTCTTAGTCTCATTATGTTCTCTACAAATTCTAGTCATATTTTCTATGTACATCATATGTTCTCTGTATAACTTTTATACTCAATATTCATGTTCTCAATGTTCTTAGCTTGTTCTTCACATGTTCAGTGTTCATTCTTTGTAATCCCTATTCTCCTTATCATGTTTTCATGTTCTCTGTAAGTTCATATTCCCAGCATGTTCACTGTATTCATCAACTTTTCTTACATATGTTCTTTGCCATGTTCCCCATATGTTCTCTGGGTTTTTCCCCTTACATGTTATTTAACGTTCCTTAACTAAAAAGATCTTTCGCCAATCAACTAAAACATAGTCACTTTCGTCATTTCTCAACTAAACTTATTATCCAGTCAACTAAAAATTGTCAAAGGAATCTTTCCAACACTGTTCATAACTAAACTTATTCCCTAGTCATCA